GGCAGCTAGTGGTCATATTAATGTTTTTTTACTTTCCATCTTGTCACCCCTGGTCAATAATATTTTTTAATCAGTGTCCATTAACGATCAACCATCGAATACTCATTCACTTGTATTGTTCATCGTAGATTTTCACGGTGGATATAGTCATTATATCAATTCATTGTCGCATTTAATGAATGATTTTATCATAATTTTTATCATGGGTTGTTTGAGGTTTTCAAGCCACTCTCAGCATTTCCTTTTGAATCCGAAACACATCGTGAATTATTTTCTCTTCAAAATCATGTGAATTTTCGTACTAACATACTCGTTTTTTTAATTCTTATATTCACTGCCATAAAAATTTTAAAATTTCCTATTTTTTTGTGTATCTTTCCGTTATGCAACACTCACAATTTTGTCTTTTCTGTACTGCAGTTCTAATATTACCCATCGTACCTATGTATACCTTAGATTGTATGTAACGACAATGTCAATTTTCAAATTTGAGAGTGGCTTTCAATATTTTGCTTATGTTGTATAAAAACCAGCTTACTTAAGTGATAGTTAAACATTTTTATAGTAAATTTGCTTTTATATATTATTAAATAAAGGATAAAATAAAATAAAACTATAAAATTGTATAGGGCAGCCAAAGCAAATAACACTAGACATGGTACATTGAGATTAAATTAAAAGAGATTTATACAGTAAAATGTAGACTTATTGCTAGATGAAAACAGCACAATATTCGTTATTTTATTACTGATAGCACAAACACTAGGGTAAAGGGATCGAGCACATTTTCATAAAACGTTACGTGTATATTTTGCCGAACATTTCAAAAGAAAAACGGTATATTCGATACAATCTGTAGCACACGATAGCAACAACCTTTTATGTCATAAAACAACAGTCACCAATTTATAACCCTATTTTATTTCATTTTAGTGGCAATGTTTTGGCATTTAGAAGTAACCAAAATCCATCTTTTTTTCAAATAAACTTGCCGAAACATTGCTAACATTTTGCATCCATGTACTTTCATCCACTTTCACAAGCATATGACATCCCAGCACTCTTCACCTCAAAGCATATTTTGTTTCTTTAGTCTTTGATCACCACCGCATACATTTACAATGGAATATTTATTATGATTGATTCAAGCAATATTTACTTTGATCCTGAGCTTCGTAGTTATTGTGTAGCTTAATCTATGTGTTTGCATTACTTCGTAGTTTTGGTGTTGCAATACTGTACGTTTTACTATGGTGTTTATGATTGTTTGACACATTGACGGATACTATATTTGTACAAAAGTAATGTTACTTTTATTTACAGTTTATAGAAAAATGCTTCTAAATGATGAAATATTAATCTATTGTCGAATTTACATTGATCTGATCATCTTTTTGAACTATTTTTCTTAAAATTGATCAACAATATTGAATTTGAATGTTTCAAATCTAAGCGAACAAAAATATTATTTTAAATAAAAATATTAATTTTAATTAAAATAATATTAGCAAGATTTGAAAATAAATGTTAATAAATATTGACACGAGCGTTTAACTACATTTATAATGGATTTCAGGGTGGCTCCGGAAAAAAGTAACTTCAAAGAACAAATTGCGTTAATCATGTACGAAGAATGCTTTATAAGGAAGGGCGAAGGTGAATGTGTCAAATGCATGCACGGTCATGCTGGAAGAAAAAAAAACACACAAACAGCAGAGACTTTGCTACCGAGAAGACTAATATAATATTAAAATACTACGGATAATGTTTATTATACAAATATCATATTTTATTATGTGGATGAAAATATAAACAATTAAATACGTAGTTAGTAAAAAAATTGGAGGAATATTGAATATAACAAAAACGGTGTGTGTAATGGTTACATTAATAGATGTAAATGACGATTCATAAGGAATGTAAACCAGATATGTTACGTGTTAAAAGGGCAGTATGCATTTTTCGAGAAGAGATTATTTTTTTATTATAAAGAATAAAGAAAAGAAAAAGAAAATGAATTCAAACGGTCTAAAGAGTATAAGCTTATACATACATGATATATATCTTGATGATTTGCAATCAATTCCAACGAATAACCATGATAATGTCCTTTTTTTATTAAGGATTAGGTATGAAGAATGCGAACGAAACGTGATTCTTTTTAAACACGAGCAATCGACGTGTTCGTGGTGTAGGTGATTTTTAATTAAATTTTTCGAACACGTTAATATTAAAAAAAAAGAAATAAATAAAATTAAAAAAAATTGTATCATATATACAAAAAAATGAAGACAATTTTGCGAATGAGACCTATCTCTGGCAGTAAAATCAATTTGTATGATGAAAGTTAAATGAAGTATGTGCAATAATAACAAATAAAAAGGGAGGTTAATTAACTTCTTGAAACGTAAGACAAATTTTAGTAGACTTTTTAACAAATGAAAATGATTTATTATTACTTAATTATTGTACCACTTAACTATACTCGTGTAAGTTAAAAAAATGCCTTGATACTATGGTATTTGACAAATTTATTTGAGCAATTTGCCAAAATTCGTAGCTATGGCTTTTCTTAATTTCCAAACTTGTCGAAAACCGTAATGAAGAGTTCTCTAATAAATTTGTAGCTCAGACTAACAAATAAGGAGGACTGTTGAAAAGGATGAAAATCTTTGTTACTATTTCAAAAGAGAGAAAATTGTAATTGTGGTTACTGATTTTATATATATTAAAATTATAAATAAATACATTAAAGCTGCTATTTTATGGTTCTCAATTTATCTCAAAATAACATCTTCAAGGTTTTTCGACTTTTTGATCGTCTCCCTTATTTCAACTTAAATTCACACTAGAGTACTTTACAAAATATTAATCACTTTGTTATGGGGATTGCAGTCATAAAATAAGTAGTTGATCAATTTACAAAATACATAGTTTATTAATGAATATAAAATCAAAAAACGTTTTTTTCTGACGTCACTTATATACAAAATTTTAGCTTTTACTGCTATTAAGAAAATAATGTTTTTAGACGTAATACTTCTTTTCTTTACAAAATTGATAGTTTTCTATTTCAAGTTTTTTTTCCAAAATATTTATATATCATACAAATATGTATATTTTAGCTTTAATAAAAAAAAAATATTCTAATGACTAAGCATGGTCTGCAAAAATCCGAGAATGTAACTTCCTAAATCCTCGTCTTGATTAGTCCAAGAAACGTAAACACTCTTTTGATCATCCTCATCACCTTCAACTTTAACTAATACCGATTCAACGGATATTGCATTATCAACAAATTGTACATTCCAATCAGATAATCGCTCTTTCAACGGTTGCAACAATTTCTTCGTTGTCGCGAGCGCAGGACCTGGATCTCTCACTTGAACATTTGAAGTAAACCGTAATGTATGTTTTGATATTCCAGCAGCTTTGGCAACCTAGAAAATGAAATAAATTTTATTAACAAATTATAAAATACAATATTAATAAGATAATGATAGTTACTTCATCAGGATCAAGAAGACAAATTCCATCTTCTCCGCACATCAGTACTGTATGAAGAAGACGCCGTCTTTTTGGATCTGGAGGTAAGGCCGAATAGGTTTTTACTTCAGATTTCAGTAAAGCTAATGATGCATCTACTGGTACTTTAGACATTGTATTGATTACGCAAGTTTCGCCATTGGCGGGATTGTAACAATTTATACTAAACTCTTGCTTTATTTTCTCCTTCAAATATTCCATTTTGGCGAATTCACCGTGAACTAACATGACATTTTTTGGTTCGCAATATTGTATCAATTGCATGATCCCTTTAGCATCGGCATGAGCCGAAAACGACATGTACTCTACAGCCAGTTTCACTTCAACTATTTGACGATTTTCAAATTCAATCCTTTTAGCGCCATTCAGTACTTTATGTCCTACTGTCCCTTGCACACAAAAACCAGGCATAATCACCATGTTAAGCTCATTTGGAGCCCATTTTTTGAAAATTTGTAGTGACAAACCCGCATGTAACATTCCAGGTGTAGCGAATACTACCATAGCGCCAGGATTATCAATGTATGATTTGTCAAATGGTTTTATGTGCTTGAAGTCAAACATATTTCTCTGTACAAAAGTTTTTTTGATTTTCTGATTTGTCCATGTAATGAACATTTTGTAATAATTGTTGGCTTTCTCTGTCAAACCAAGAGCAAAGTACACAGGTGCTTTTAGATTCATTCTTTCCCAGTATGTTTCTAATAATATGCACAATTCTTGTGCTCGACCAAGTGCAAATACTGGAATCAATACCTTACCGCCCTTGTCAATACATTCATGAACTTTTTTGAGAAAATCTCTCTCACGACATCTTTTTGAATCTCTTATAGTGGTTGCATAAGTAGATTCAGTTATCAACAAATCTGGTCTACATTTATCTATCCAAGCAGCTCCTAAGTGACGATCTGGAGTCATATTATAATCACCTGTGTAAACAATTGACTGAGATCCCACACGAATCCAAAACATAGAAGCTCCAAGTACATGACCAGCATAATAAGCTTTAATTTCTAAATCTGGATCTACCATAACTGATTGATGCAAAGTAACAGCAACAACTTTTTTCATGCAATCTTTAATCATTTGAGAAGTGAAAAAATTACTTTCTCCTTTCCTTTCAACAGCAACTTTTCTCATATCCTCCAAAAGAATTGGAGCAATAGCTTTTGTTGGATGTGTCATATAAATTGGACCAGAGTATCCCACCTAGTAAAAAATTATTCAAACTCAAATTATAAAAATTCTAAAACGTGAAAATTATATAAAGAACTAACCATTTCAGTGAAATATGGCAGTGCTCCACAATGATCAAGATGAAAGTGTGAAATGATAACACAATCTATGATATTAGTGGCTGGTCCTTCAGGTACAATGTAAGAAAAATCTGGAAATCTTCTTTCATCATTGAATCCCATGTGCATACCACAGTCAAGCATTATATTTTTTCCACCTATTGACACAAGAATACAACTTCTGCCAACATCTTGGCCCGCTCCCAGAGGTGTAACTCTTATGTCAGGCATGTTTGTGATTAATTGATGAGCTTGGCTTCAGAAATAATATCTAGATGCAACAATTCTAATCAATGAAATCATTTACGATTTCTGAGTTAAATCTGAAATCTCAACACAGATCAACATAACCTCACAATTCGCTTTCCCGGTTATTATTTCTTGATAAACATACAATATTATATATTTGTTTACAAAATCAATGTCATATTATAAATAAATAATCGAGTTGACCTGCATTATTTTACCGTGAAATACGTGAATTACATTTTTTCCGTGAATACTAAATATTTGATATACTTCGGCACACGGTTCAGAATCTCAGAGGACGACTGACAATAATGTGACAAACATTTTGAAATATACTTTCGCGCCGGCATGAGAGTGGGAGAATCTTGGCCATTTTCGAATTTCGAAGCATTGAATGGTTTTTCAAGAATATATCAATAATATCTTTAAGACTTCCAGTATTCAAAACTAAAATGTAGTATAAAATGTACTATATAAGTATATCATAGCTGTGTTTACAAACATTAATTTTATTGTTGAAAGAAAAAATCGATCAATAACTGAACTGACGATTCCTTTTGTTTTGGCTATATGTTAAGTCTTTTGTTGAAGCTTGGGTGAAGGCTTGGGTTCGGGTTAGCATAAATAAAATTGTTTGCTTCGAATTAAAAAGTCAGCAATTTATCGTTTATTAAAGTGATAACCTCGTTTCCTCTGGACCTTTCATATTAAGATTTATTTAGAAAAGAATATAGTTAAATATGTAAATGAACTTTCACATTAAAATGTTTTTTTATGTAACATTAGTTTTATTTCTGAAGCCTTCAATTGAATAATGTCAAATTAAACTTTATTTGAAAAGAATTTAATTGTCATTATGAATATTATAAAAAAAAGACTCTTGAAGAAATCTTCCCCTATCATTAAGAAATATTGAATTTATATAAAAAATCCCGAAAGTATTTGTCATAACAGAAACAGTATTAAATAATAAATTGAAAATGTGTCATTGATGGATTGGAGTTGGGTTGTAAGTGAGCGGAATGCGTGTTTTGAAGAATAACTGTGCTCCAAACATACATTTTCCAGTTTTTATTCGTCATATTGTAATTGTAGCAATTAATACCTCTATTTTTTATTTACATTTCACTGCATTTTTCTTGTCCTTTTGGTAATAGGCGTTTTTTTGTTTTATTGTAATGCGACTATTGCAATACGCACTACGTACTTATGACGTATTTCCATTCTATTACCTTTCTTTTTATACGCGTGCATTCATTTTTTTACGTAGAATGATGCGCACACAACTCTTATCGCGTGTTGCGCATGTGATTATTACATGTGTCGTGTCAATGCAAAACACTATAATGTCGTCAATGATCGAAATAGTTCGATGTGTTTTCAACTAAATTTATAATTCTTTAATATGTACACTTCACTAACAATGAAAAACAGACTACTTTTTATTAATCAACAAACACAATCACAGCAATTGCTGGGAGCTACGAAACTGTCATTTTTCTTTATAACGCAAGAAACTTTCTATGATTGCTTGAGTATCTTCGGAATCACTACAATATTCATGTATTCGCTTAAAAGTCTCAAGCTTTTACTTTTTTTCTTATTTTGTTCCGATATTCAAAAAGCTTTCAACCGCTATTTTGATATGTAAAAAATCTAAATACACATTATACGACCTTTGCAATGCCTTGGATAAGTTTGTTTGCCGGGAAACCGAGGAAAACAACGGCGATCAGAACACCTTCTCGCGAGATCGAGATGAGTGACTGACGGACATTCTAGAAACAATGAAATACTTTCTTGTTTGCTATTGCAGCTGAAAATTACGCGCGCATCATTGTCTCGCAGCGATTGCACAACAAACAAAGGACCCGTACGGGCGTCATAGAAAATCAGCTTATAAAAAGAACGCAACGAAAAAAGTCGTACAGTCATCGTAAAACAAAACGAATACACACGATTGTACAGAGCAGCAATAAAACGTTGTTTTTTTTCTTTTTTTTTTCTTGTTTTTTTGTGGTTATCCTCAATTGTCGCAATATATCGTTATCGTCGTCGTCTCTCGTTAAAGCTAAACAGAAGTTCATTTCTCCGTTTGTTTTTTTTTTGTTTTTTACGAATATAATTTCTATATTTATATCGTGCATTCGTGGCATTATTCTTTCTCTCTCACTTGCTTCTTCCAATCTTTGGTAAAACTGTACAATGTAAAATATAATTCCATCTAGCTAGCGACTCTGGATATGGCTGAGCGCGTTATCTTTTGCTTCTATTACTTTTACCATAATCCGATAGTTTTTTTTATTTATTTGTTATTTTTTTTTGTGAGGGGAGCTACGTGAAACTGAGAAGACCTTGATATGGTATACGCGAGTGTGAGTTTTTTTTTCTCGTGTCAGTCTACAAGCAAGCACTTACTAAACAATCAATGAAAAAGCAATTAGTGAAGTGAGTATTTGTTTTGTTCATCTCGTTAAGAATAGAATGCTCGTTTAATGTGAATCGATTATTTGACTTGTCTATGAAAAAAACCAAAACTCTGGATTGGCTGGAAAGTTGGAGAATGTGATTGAAATTGTATCAATCTCAAGGCCCTCTGTCCGACACTTAGTCAATTTATGTCCATCCCGATACATTCATATTTCAAGTTATGTATGATTAATTGTATAGAATAACATCTTTGTTTCATAGATACCGCATAGAAGTTAATGTATAAACATCAGTTTTCAGTACATTTAGGGATATGCAGAGAATAAACGAATCACGCCAAAGAGACACTTTTCTTTCCTCCCTATCTCCCTCATTATGTTTGGGAGCGTCTCGAAAACGGTCATCGCCCGATAACTTAGTCACGCAGTATGTAACCCGCAGTGCTTCTTTTGTATGTTAAATCTTTACAATGTCTACACTGAATATTTATGCGCGTTTAAAAATGGCTCTAATTGAGTGCATAGAATTAGGATTCGGCTTTGTTTTTTATTGGGTCAAATAGTATGCAGTCGAGTTGCGTACTGCGGCAGTTGAATAATTAGCAGTCAAGTGATATCGTATCAATTGTAAAATAAGTTTCTCGAATAAAATCGATAATAAGTCGCATTCTATAAAAAAATCTGTAATTTATAAAAAAAATCGAAAAAAAACTCATATAAAAAATTATATATATATATATATATATATATATATATATATATATATATATATATATATCTCTAATCAAATTATTATCTTTAGCAGCTTAATTGAGTAAACCTCTAGATTAATAACTTCATAGATTATTACGTCATGTATCCGATATCAAAAATTTAACTTTGCATAAATTGTGGACTCAGAGAGAAACCAATACATTGTGGCGTGCTATAACGTAACAGGTGGAACTAAGCGCTTTTACATTATCAATGACAATATCTAAACGCAAAATGACAAAAGGCTTATTAATTGTACATACAGATGAATAGTATTATTAATGTAACCCGTTGTATTGCTTGAAAACTTATAATAAAGTCCATGTAAACTGTATGCCAACCATGCCTTTTGTTGTGACTTGGTTTTCTTGAAATTCGACTGAATAATTTTTTTTATTACGTAAAAACTCGGTGTAGTAAAATGCAACAGTTTCATCGAAAAAACTCGATAATTTGTCATCAGAAAAATCACAATCACTTAACGATACATTAGATAAATACAGATAGAGAGATAGCAATGAACGAACGAGCAGTATTAGGATATCAATTACAGAAGAACATGGAAAAATTGTACAAGTGCACGTGTGCAACAATACAAATGCTTTTTGTTTTTCTTAGTAGAAGAAACTCGATAGGGTGTCAAGTAAGTATTTAGATAGTAATTGAGTGCGTGTTTTTCCCCCTTTACTTGAATTATATTTTTAGTGTATTTTTTTAATTTCTCATCTGCTTGAAAATTCATTACGATGCTTTCCTAGAGAGAAACGTTCCTACAAATAGATTAAATGCATCTCACGTTTAAGATTTAAAAAGTAAAATACTTATAGAAAAATGGTTCAGGCAATAAACACTATCATTAGTGGCGAAATAACGCGTTGTACTTGCTCCATTAGTAAGTTTCCTCAATTGATATGCGAGTTGATCAGTATTATCTCCATGCCCGACATTCTTAGTTTCTTCTTTGATTTTTTATTCGTTCGGCTTGTCAAATTAAAACTACCTATTCTCCTTTTATGCACATCGAAGCTTTAAACTTTCAAACAGCTCAATTTAACTTTCAATTATTATGTTCAGTTGACATTATGGTTTCAATTTTAAAAACCTTCACATCGACATTTATTATTATAGAAAACAATTATGTTTACTTCGACTTTTCGCGGAACGCGCAAATCACTAAATATATTGACAAGATTTATCAAAAACTGTAATAGACGAAATTTATATTATTAATATTATTATGTAAAACGAGACATGTAATTTACGATCACAAATATATTTATGTTCAGAACTTGAAAAAGTTCAGTCATTTGGCTCGACAGAGCTTTTTTAAAAATATAAACAAGTTTTTTTTGTCGAGACGACATTTTACTATCATCTTCTTTAATGCGATTTAATTTCTCAACTAGATTTGGATCGCTGGCGCTAGATAATCAGTTTTCTTTATTGCTTGGACAAATTCGTTCAAATTCTTTTCTTTCGCGTTTTAACTTACAGAAAAAAAAAATTTCAATTTACTTTTATTTTTCGTTACGACGAAATGTACTTAATATTAGCGCGTCGTATCGTAAAGTAATCGTTACAGTAGGTTACAATTGAATAATGGAAAAAAAACTCACTGAAACTGACCATCAAGTCAATTACTATTTCACACTTCCCAAAAGAAATGTCACGAAACAATGATTTAACCGAACTCGTTATGTTTTTCGTGCATTTGCTTTGTTTATGTTTAGACACATCCGTCCATTCGACTGACGTCTTAAAAGATTCAAAAATCTTGCCTAAATTAATTATTACTCCTCGCACTGTACTCAAAGCAAATCGTCTTCTACGAATTTGCAACAAATTGTCGCATGGCGAGAGCTGCATATTAGGTATGTGTAGCGAGTGGCCGGGCGAAAAAACAACTTTAGCTCGAGATGTAAAAATGAGTGAAAATCTCTTTTAAACACGCCTTGTCGACATTTCTCTCTGCTTTGGTGTTTCCTAAACATAATTCGCAATAAATGCGTGCAGTCGGCATACGTGCAATGGAACAGTTTGTAACTTTCTTTTGTGTAAAATTATCATATCGTATCCTTATTACATAAACTGTATTCTCATTCTTATGTTTGTGTGTGCGTGTGTGTGTGTGTGTGTACGTGTGTGTGTACAGGTTTAAGCACTAGGCATGCAGAACTCAATTTGTTCACGACCCTGTTTCCAGCCGCTCCGAAATCTCGTTCGTTTTATTTACTTATCGTTTAGTAGTTTATAGCATTTTTCCGTATATATGTATACTCATTATTTTTTTTTATGTATATGCATATCGATATATCGACGAATTCCGCATCACCATGTCACACTTCTCAATAATCTTTCGTGCCTGCGCTCATCTCGCATTAATAAAATCTAAAATTCAATAAACAATGCACACTCATAACATAATTTATAAATACTTTTTTTGTTTGGTTTTGTTTGTTGTTTTTTTTTTGTTCTTTTTTGTTTTGCTTTTATATCCATCATCTATACAACAATAATTACGTATAATTGCTAAGTAGGATCGCACGCACCGGGGCGATGCGAGTCGACGCTATCGCGCGTCCTCGAACGTCCCGCTCGCGCCCCGCTCTCCGTCACGCTAAACTTGCGCTAGTTGCTATACGTCTCCCGCTGAACTTTGCGATGGCGATACATCGACAGCGCAGCGTTATATTTCTGACCCGCAGCAAAAATACTATGTGTGCTATATACTTCTAAAATCGCGAGGAACGGAAAGCAACGAACGACGGAAACAACGCGGCCGAACGGAAAGAAACGCGAGGTGGTCGGCCTGAAAATACATGTACAGAGTCTTGCGAACGAAGGGGCAGAGTCGATGGAGAGCGGTGCGAAGAGAACATCGAAACGACACGTCGTTCGTGGCCCAGTATTTTCGGTGTGTGTGTGTGTGTGTGTGTGTGTGTGTGTGTGTGTGTGTGTGTGTGCGTGTGTGTGCGTGTATGTGTATATTAGCGTGTAGTGCGCTATTCTTCGACAAATAAAACGGCCTACTTTTCTCGAGCACATCTGCAACACTACACGCACGTCTCTCTCGCTCTCTCTCTCTCTCTCGCATTACCACAAATCATGTCGGCATACACATATAACAATACGTCCGGCGGCTCGGCTACATAGCAGCGCACTGCTCGTATACACTTTTTTATTCACGTCGCACGCGCACACCTCTCGCTCTCTTTCTCTCTCAATTCGTCGAACGTACAATATGTAACACAGTCAGTCTTGGCTCCGAGAGCGAGCCTTTTTTACACGTACCATTCCTTAATGTCCTTGACCTGTCGGTTCTTGCCGTTGCGGCTGCCGCCCTGGCCGCTTTTGAGAGCACCGTTGTAGGGCTGGCCGAGGCCGCCGGCGCCGGCCGCGGCGCCCAGTAGCGCGGCGTTGGGCTCCTGGCAGAAGCTCTTGCCGTCGTCGATCTTGTAGTTGACCTCCGGTCGGCCTTTGAACTTGAGTATCAGCAGGATTATGAGGATTATGGCGATGAGCGCGCCGGCGATTATACCGATCACCAGCGCTATGTACTCCGAAGTCTCCGAGTGGATACGCTGGTTGTCGTTGAGCATCACCTTCGGCGTCACCACTGTGTAGAACGTCATTCTCGTCGACGTGGGCGGCATTTCCGACATTTCCGTCGACGATATCGTCGTGTATTGACTGGAGGCGGCGGTGGTGCTGCCGATGCTGTTGCCGCTGCTGCTGCTGCTGCTGCTACTCGACTCGTGCGTTACGATGCTGCGAAGTGAAAAAACAAATAATCGAACTAGCTTTGCGGTATTTTCATGCATATAGCCTCTGGCTCGATTCGCTCAGCGTCGCCAATCACTATTCCGCGTGGGAATTGAATGTGACGTGGAATCGTAATTTCAATCGCGAAATCGCGGAAGCGAATCTCAGTTGATGAATTATATAGGGTGCCCATTATCGATTGCTCGCTCGAAGGAGCGTTCGTACCGCGCGCATCTCTCGCGGACGCGAATCGACGAGTATCGCCGTCGTGGTCAACGCTCGTTTGGCACGGCCACTGCGGACGCCGAGCGATCAGGAGCAGTCCGTAGTCGCGCGAGCGGGAACGAGAGGCTCGCGTGGTCGAGCGCTATTGTTAACGCTCGCACGGACCAATCGATACGGGCGTCGGGCTTTATCGCTCGGGGATGAAATACCTGGAGCGAGTGCTCTGCTGCTCGGGCCGACTGCTGGACGCGTTGGCGGCTGCGCTGGTGGGCCGCGCGCTACTGGTACTGGTGGTAGCGGTGGTGGTCGACGTGCTACTGATTGGTTGGCCGGTTGACAGCTGTCGCTGCGTGGTGTAGCTCGCCGCCGACGAGCTCGAGTCTGTGTGGAAGGCAAATAATGAAAACCGCTTGTTGCATGCCCAGAGCGAGGAAGCGAGAGAGCGAGCTGCCGCCGCCGCCGCCGCCACCGCTCGCCTGTCGTGCGCGCGCGCGCGCGCGCGCAATATCGCCTGCATTTGCGTATATGCGGGAACATGCTCGGCTTATCGATCGAGGCGTGCACGCGGCTCTCTTTTGCGCTCTCGCTCTCGCGCACCAGTCAGTCTCGTTCTGCCCACCTGTGGCCGAGGTGACGAAGATCTCCTCCGTGGTGGCGGAGTCGCCCGAGCCCTCCTCGTTGCACTCCTCCTCGTCGTCGCACGGCACCGTCTTCTCGTGGGTCTTGGGCGTGCTCGGCGAGGGCGACTTGGTCGGGGCCACGTACACCGGCGTGATCAGGTCGTCTGCAAATTGAACGCGTTGCCACGTGAGTCGCGCGCGAGCGCGCGCGCTCGGGAGTCTGGTGCTGGCGAGACACAGCCGCGCGACCGAATGACCCGCCAAGTCAGTCGATCATCAAAGTTGAAATTTGAGTCACTCGCGAGCTCCCGGCTACGAGGCGAACATCAGCCGCGAGGAGCACTCGCGCTCGTCTTTTCGCTCATTCGAGATGCGCGAGGGGTCCTAAATATGCAAATGAATCGAAGATACAATCGGGCGAGCATGAAGACGCGGAAGGTATAGCTTTGAGAATCTGCCAGCTGTACCGCATCTCGTTACGCGCAGTGGAGGGGGCAGACTTTTGACCTACTGGCATCTGCTCCAGCTTAATGGATGCGACGATGCCCGCTCGGTCGGTCTAATGCATCCTCGGCGAGCGTTCATTCGCTGCTCGCGCGGCACAAGTCGCGGCGAAGTCGCGCGACTGAACGCTAACGCCTGGAACAGGTGCGTGTCTATCTACGGATAAAGGCAAAAATGCACATACGCTTACCGGTCCCATTATCGTAAATCGGCGTGCAATCCTCGTCCTCGTCGTCTCCGGAGCATCCGCTTCCGGCGCCGGAGAATATCAGGTCGTCGCCGACGCCCGGCAGACCCGACGGCGGCGTCTGCGTCAGCCGGCAAATGCCAAAATCAACACACACTCGTCCTCTCGCGACTGCTTCGAGCGGGGGGCATACCTGCTGCATCCGTTGGAGCGGCCCAGCGCGATCGGTCAGTCCGCCGATGGGCAGCATTTGCACGTCGCCCTTCACGCTCGTGCGACTGTCCTTCTCGGCTGCGAGGCCGAAGATGTTCGCGCCGTTCACGACCAGGCCTGACATTATGCCCAGGAACGGTTTGTCGATTCGGCTTTTGCCGCGGTTCCAGCGGCCTCCCACTTGGATCGTCGACTGACTGTTGAACTCCGCGTGCTGGTTGCCTGCAACGCACAGCGAGCCGTCGATCGAGCGTTCGCGTACGGGTTAAGGCCACCTTCGCTCGCGTCATTTCGGATTTTGCCCTCGACGCGCCACGAAAGCAAAGAGGGAGAAAAGAAAAGGACGAGCCTACGTGCCGCGTGCCTTTCGAGGGGACGAACGGCGAAAGAGCACCCGTCCGGGCCGTTCGGCGCCGAACGCGAGGAGGCGAGCGCGGAAAACGGCGAGCGCGAGGAAACCGGTTGGCGCGCGACAGAGATCAACGTTTTTGCCGATTCTTTGTTTGACGGATGTTTTCGTTTGACCAGCGAGCAGGCGAGCAGGAGCGCGAGTAGCCGCCGCGTCTCCCCTCCTCGGCCTCGGCTCGCTCCCTCCTTCGTTCCGTATCAGACTGACCGCGCGCGCGCGCGCGCGCCCGGCGCTTTTTATCGGCGATTGAATTAAGAGAGATGCCTCGAGGGACCCTTGTCCCTTCGTAGGGACCGAATTCTGCCGGCTCTCGGAGCAGGCGAGTATGACCACCGACGAGAGGGATCGATCGTTCCCGTTTTCTTCCATTTTTTATTCCTTTTCTGCTCCATTTCGCCGCTCGCGGTCTCGCCGGTCTGTCCGCTCCTTCGCTTCGGCCCCTTCGGGATGCGTGCGCGAGTGCGGCCGCGGCTCGCGCACCCGGCCTCCGCTCTCGGCGCGCGGCACAGTCGGCGCCGGACGGGCCACGGCAGCCGGGGGCGCAGCATCCCGAGGCACTTTTCCAGATATGCAAATGGAGAGGCGACACCGATCAGGCCAGCATGGCGTCCTTGGAGGTGGTACGCGATATTCGGGCCCCTCGAGCCGGCGCGAAGGTGCCGAGCGACCGAGGGCCCGGCCCGAACCCGACGGATCTTGATCGGAAAAAATCGATAATCCGGCTATTTTTATACTAGGCGACTAGGAGCCGCAGAGCAGCTGTACGAAAAACCGGTAACGCGCGCTCTCTCTCTCTCTCTCTCTCTCTCTCTCTCTCTCTCTCTCTCTCTCGCCGCGTTCGTGCGTGCGCTGCTGACCTCCATACGTCTCCATCCCTCCTCTCCACGCGCGCGCGCGCGCGCGTGCACGCCTGCGTGCTGACCGACATTCCAATTTCGCGTGCGCGATTGCTTCGATCCGCGTTCGAACGAGCCGTTGCACTTTGGAGCGCGTTCACTGGTGCAAAGTGCAATCGTCACTGCCGATCGCGCGCAGCGGAGAGGCCGTCGAATGATCTTTGACGAGCGCGCTGCGCGCACGAAAAAATGAGCTCGCTTGACGATCGTAACAGGCGACCATGAGATCAAAGCTGGCTCCTCTCTCTCTCTCTCTCTCTCTCGTAGTCGCTCGTAGAAATTAGGCCTGGCTTTCTAGTCGTGGCGCAAAACTTGTCGCGGAAACTCCGCTTCGACTCGTCCGCGTTGCCGACTATTGTACGCCAAGTGCGCGAATCGTGCTAACGAGGCCGCGCGTGCGCGCATGCACGTGGCGTGCTCCCTCCGGCCGACTTGGGAACTGTGGATTTTGACTACTGCTCTTGTCGTGCGTGCTGCGGCGATAAAAATCAGCAGTATGAACGAGCGATCACGAGCAATTGATTAGATGCGGACAAATTTTAACGATATCGATCTAAAAGCAGTCACTGACGTGTTTGCTCGTCGTCAAACGAATGATTGTGAAATCGATTGGGACAACTAAAGCAAATAAATAGACCACGCGTGGATGTTGGTCGACGGAAAATGAGAAACGACGTTTGTCGTTGGTAGATCGATCGAAAGAAAATGAACAAACAGCCTCTTGCTGGCTTGACGAGTTTTCCACGCACGCAGACATTCTCGCTCTACGCGATGCAGCTGTCGTGCTGCCACAAGTGGGAGTGCACTTGCTCAAGCGGGGAGCATAGTAGGCTTACCAGCGAAGCATGAGAGCGCAGCAGGTTGCTCGCCTCGCGCCCCGAAAAGCTCGGCTCGACGGGCGCGAATCCAGGGCCCCGCGAAAGCGGTCACATTCCGATCCGAAGAAGACCAATAAACTGTATCAGTCGACTAGGCGAGCATGGCGATCGAGGCGGTAGGACGCGAGCTTCCTCCTGGGCACGACGTCGGGAGGGGCCTCACGACCACGCCCTGCACCAGCGCGACGATCAAAGACCCGCTACCATGATACGAAGAGGGGACCCCTCCTACTTCCGACACCCGCTCGCTCGCGTATCGCCTCGTTCGGCCGCGCGCGACTGCCGATCCGCTCGACGGATAATCCAGCGAAGAGGAGCGGAGAAAGCGAGCCCCGATTGTACATGGGCAATTAGCTCTTGGTTGGCATAATCTAAATTAATAAGTAAACTCGCAGGCGAGCATGCTCGGCGCGGAGGTGCGTATCAGCGGCGAAATAACAAAAAAAAACGGAGGAGGCGAAGGAATGAAAACAGAGAAGAGAGAGAGAGAGAGAGAGAGAGAGAGAGAGAGAGAGAGAGAGAGAGAGCAAGTGGGTCAAGGCACTCGGCAAAAGTGTGCGCGACGACAAGTGGCGCATTCGGCCAAAGTGGAACAGGGAACGATGAGACGGCGACAGGTCGCGCGCGATAACTCTTTTTTCGGCCGGCCTCCGCCTAATCTTGCGCGCGACAGGGGGCCACGGACTCGCGCGCAGGAGCGGCCCACGGTCGGCAAGGCCGGGAGATCACTCGCGGGCCGCGCATCGTACCCATCCGAAGGGGACACCACGCGGCTATTCGCGGTCGTCGATAGCGTGTGCCATTGCGCAGCGCCTGCCGAGTAACGATAGTGCGCAATGCGTTCTGATCCGCGCAGCTCGACCACGCGTCGCTGGACGTCTCGCGCGGCACGGTTACAGGTACACGTCGATCGAGCCCCGCTTCGAATCCCAGAAGCGCCGTGACGACCGAAAATCCGTTCCGACCCGCGTCTGGCTTTTCTCCGCAGCCACCCCGAATGAACTCTTACGTCTGCGCTTCGAAAATCACCTCCACGAGCTGCGCAAACTTGCCGAAAGGAAAATAATACATACACGCACATACATACATACACACAGTTATATATATAAACACATATGAAGAGACGCGCCTCGAGCTGCTGTTCTCCTAGTCGACAACGTCGGACACTGTGGGATATATATACATGCATGTATGTATATATATGTACATACTTATAACAAGCTTTTACAAAAGCCAGCCGAGCGGGGCTTTAAATCCCACGGCTGCATGGGAAACGCAGCCGATTCCCAGTCCCGCCGACGATACCTTTAAAGCGTTCCCGTGCGAAATTTCCGCTGCCGCGAGTCTCGCTTCTCCGTCCTCTCCTCTTCCTTCCTTTCGCAGGCTCTCTCACCTTTTGCCTCCTCTTACCTTGACTACTAGCCGATAGGCTCTCTCCGCGTTGGACTACGCCGCTTGCGAGGCCGTGATGCTAGCCTGGTGCTTCTAAACACGCGCGAAACACGTTCGCTTTGATCTGCGTGCCTGGCCAAACTAGGACTGGCTGCGTGTACGCGGCATGCGGAGCGACGCGCTCGCGGCGACATAGATTCTTCGCGTTCTTCGCAAGGCCGCGCTCCACGTGCCACTTGCGAACGGGGCTTCGGTGGGCGAATTTCGAGCACTGCTCCTCGCCGGATTTCACTACGGACGGTGCTCGTTATCTCTCTGCGAGATCGATGAGACGCTGCGCTTGTTTATTCGACCGATCGGACCTGTCGTTATTTCTAGCTCGCTGCATAATTCTGGAAATCGCCACCAATATTACGAATGATCCACGGCGTTTTGGCGTTCGCGACTGGTCGAGCTGTAACAGTGCCGAGCGATATCCCACGCGGTCGTCAGGCAACGTAAGTGCCCTCGTTAAAGCCCGCGCACAAATGACCAATTATCAATCGGAAAGACGAAATTCCCACAGCGATCCGCACCGAAAACACTTTTCCACTCTGTCAACAACGAGCGCCCACGGCTCAATTAAATCGGCGGCGAATCGTCGGTTCCCATCTCACGACTTACAAAGCTGCCGAAGCGCCATTCACACGCGTCCGTTATCGCGCGCACGGGGAGACAGCGCCGCTTATCGCAATCGAAGAACACGCATCGAGAAGCCACTTTCCCACATCAACGTCGTGGACTTCTCACGCGAAAAAAGAAGGAGAGGAGCGTGCGATACGTTGCGCGGAGTGTATGTGAGAGAGGGAGAGAGAGAGAGAGAGACGAGCGTGAGAAGATATTGAACTTGAGAGCGTGCCGAGCGACGAGAATATCAGGCAGCTATCAGCAGCTCGGTGGTGTGCCCGCTGCCTTCGCCTCCCCGTTCGCGATGCTCCGACTGCAGCCGCCGGCCGTCGCCGTCGCCGTCGCCGTCACTAGGTCCACGGCTGTCGGGTCCTCGCCTAAGTTCGCGCGCCGCGCGGCCGTCCGCGCAAGCGCCTCCGCCCACGTCGAAAGGGCCGCAAGCGCGAACGACGCTCTCCTGGATATTCGTCTCCGTCGGCCGTGAGAGACGCGGACATTCCTTCGGCGAAGCTCGCGGAGGCTCGCACGATGGGGTGGGTTGTGAAGCGAGATCCGGCCGTCCTCTTTGGCGGGCGACCAGCTCGGCGCACTTGGTCTCCTAGTCGGTCTGGGAATCGTTTTCCCCCGAAGCCGCCAAGATTCTCACGATAAGCTCCGGAATCCGAGGCTCCGCATCCCGTAGGATCTCGCGGGGGCGATAGAGCGCCCGCTGCAATTAAAATCTCGTTCCCACGGGCGCGCGCTCGCCGTCTGCGGCTCGGTGGCCGGCAACCGTGGGAGAGTCGTTCGGGACGGAGAGTAGCCGCGCTCAGGACCTCATGCCGACTCAAGAAGTTTTGGCGAGAGAGGGAGAGAGAGAACGTGAGAATCTCGGGGACGCGCGTGGGAAAAGCACGACGCCGACTGGCGCTTCGGCGACCAGGAGCACATGAACCGCCGAGAGCGCGCCGCCGCGATCACCCTTCGCGCGCGCTCCGCACG